TCAGGTCAAAAGTTTTATTTGAACCTCAATCCCCCCACCCCTCACCTTTTATCTTATTATCCACCTTCCATTGCCTCTGATATTTCCTCTGTGCCTATTTCTATGAATGATTTGGCTTGTCAGTGGCTTCCTTCTGATAAACCTGTATTTGGGAATTTCATTTTCCAATTCTTTGTTGATTCTCCTAAGGTTTATTGGCACATCTTTATCTAGCATAAACAATATGCTTCTTGTTTTTCTGTTTATGCTTGGCTGGCCTTAAAGCAGGGTTTGAAAATTATGAATGCTTTGAGTCTGAGGGAATACCTGTAGCTCCAATTTGCATTTCTATTCTTTTGGTTTGGAAACTCACTCTCATCTTTTCTTTGAATGTGACTTCACAAATGAGTAGCTTGCTAATTGCTATTGTGTCCCAACCTCAACCTGGAACCCGTCAGCGAATGTTTAGTTCATAAATCTCAAAACATAAATTAGGCTTTCTTTGGTAAAGTTTTCATACCCTTTTATTAAAGTAGCTTTTAAGGGTTCTCTTAGTACAATTTTTTTAATGGTTTTTAATTCAAAAAATTGTTGTACTAAAAAGTTGCTTTGAAAGCAATAAAAAAGCTATCTCAAACAAAGAATTTTGACTACCAACTATGATATATTGGATTCGAGTCTTGTGTGTGTGAATTTGCCTTAATTTGTCTAAATGTCCCAAAAAAAATAAATTTTTAATACAATTAAAAAAATATATAGCAAAAATATAATGATCAAAAGCTGTCCCAAAAGAAGCCTTAGATTAGCTCTTATAATTTCTAATTTTCTATTGAATGCTATAATAGTTGAGCGTATTTTGGATAGTTTTCTAACTGCTTTATTTTTTAGATTGTAATTACACTTTTGTTTAACAACTATTTTTTTCTACTTTTCCTTGCTTTTTTTTAAAAAAAATAATTTGGAAAGCTTTCTTTTTTTCTCAATGAGATTTATTAATATGTTGGAGCTATAAGAATATATTTATGTAACCTCCTCACACGCTTTCAAAACTATCTTCATTAAAACCTACAACCGCCCCAGATAAACCCCAAGGGTATGTTCAAAATAGCTACAACATTTTATAAAATTAGTTGTGAAGTTGTTGTAAAGAAAATAATTTAGCTACTCTAGTTATAAAAACAATATTTTACCATAAAAATTCCTGAAAAACAATAAGAAAGCAGTAAGAAAATAATAACCAAATGAAATTGAAGTTATTGTCTAAAAACAAATTAAACTTGGAGAAAGCTATCCCAAATGAAATTGTAGTTGCTATCTTAAAACGAAATTGGGAAAAAGCTGCCCCAAATCGACCCTTGGGCTTCATTAGACCTTCTTCCTGCTTTGTAAAGCTTCTGTATAAAAGCACTTTTTTTTTAAACAATTGTAGAGAACAACTTTCTAGCATACCTTTTTTAAGTAACAAAAAAAAAATTGTGGTTATAGACTGAAAAATAAAACGGTATAAACACTGTCCCAAACAAAACCTTAAAATTAATTTCAATAAATTTGTCAACAAATTAGTTTTAGATGCTGACTTATTCTAAATATAAAATTTATAAATTTCATTAAAACGCAAATATATGACTATAGGACATAAAAACCTAATCCTTACATTTCAAACAACACCAACTTCCACCTATAACTGCTTCCAACGACTAGTTTTCATTACGAAGTATGTTGTATATTTAAATGATTATTGCTAACAACTCCTAAAGAAATAATTTTTTTTTGCAACGGGGGTTTCTACCTGTTGTCATCTCTTTAGGAGGCACAAAACAGCATAACTAATCCCACAGTGAGCCTATTAGCAACCAGCCCCACAGGTACAAGTCCCACAGTTATTTTCTCCCCACATAAGGGGTCATGCCGCATGAGAGGGAAATCGAACATGCATTGGAAGATTCCCAACTATGCTCGCCAACCAACCCAACAAGTAAGCCGGTGGGGTACTAAGGAAAGGATCTTCTCTGACTAAAAATCTCTTATTTTTATCTGTGAAGGATTTTTGAAAGGGATTTGTGAAACAAGTCAACTAAAAATCATTGTTTAATTATAATAATTATGATTAAATTTATTCAATGTCGGAAAAAAATAATAATAATACTATCAAAATTTTAATCAAGCTTTCATAAATTATTTTAATCAAGTGGTAGTATGTTTGGACTCATAATATATCTGATACAACTAGCACTAGCAAGTAGCCTTTTTTAAAGCCATATCAAAAAATAAAGAGAGATTTACATATAGATCAAAAAATTTTATGTATTTATATCTTGACCCCTAAATCCTATATATGGATATTACATTGTAGTAGTGTTTAAATCATAGCAAAATATTTATATTAAAATATGTACTTCATTTAAATAAGTTAATATTAGTGATATGTTTTATATGATTCTTTTGATCACTGTTGTCCGACTACGGTCTACCAATCTCAATCAGTTGACTATGTCCTTCTGACTTTCGCCGCCAGCCGACTATGGCCCTACTGACCAAATGAAAAAGCCAACATTCTCTTCGATTGTTCCAACTCCAATCATATAATATACTCTATATGATGTACATTTGTTATATTTTGCAAACGTCTTCTCCCGAGAAAGTGCATCATTTGTAATCAACAACAAATACTAGTAGAATCATTTCAACTGGGCAAGTTCCAATGATTTTTCACATTTTCAGAGTTTTTCACTTAAAAAATATGGTGTCTCTCTTATGTCTCTTACACTCCTCTCATTTCTTTGTGTGTGCGTTGGATCTTCTTCAGAGCTAAGATGTTAAGTTATTTATCTCTTTATCACCGCGAATGTTCTGACACTTACCAATGATAATTATCTTTTTACTAATGCTAAATTTGATTGATTTTCTCAAATCTTGTTAATATAACTTAATTTTTTTTCAAGTGATTGTATATTGTCTTCGAATATTTTAATTAATATGACTAGAAGCATCCTAATTCGTATAACATAAAAATTAAAATGATAAATAAAACTTGGGTCAGATTAGGGTATCCTGATCAAAGTTTAATTCTTATTAGTCTTAATTAAAGTCATTATATTTTTTTTATATACGTATAATCTATGAGTAATTAAGAAAATTTTATATTGTACTCATATCAAAATAAATCCATCAGCTCTAAGATCTATCATAATTAAAGTTTAGCAGATAATATTTTTACTAAATTTTTTGTGAGTTTTTTTTTTTTTTTTTTTGAACTATAAGATATTTGTACATATTTAAAAGACAAAAAATATATCTTGTAATATATATATATTGCTATTTTATAAAATGAGAAAAAATAAATATCACATTTATCTAATTTCATCCTTTGCATGATGAATTATTCTATGCAGACACCAAACGGAAAAAATTGTCTGGTTTGTTTTTGTGAACAGTAAAAACTCTGTGAACTGCCCTTTTACTGTTCTACGTTTTTGCTGTTCACAGAGGCAAAATCGTACCGTTCTTCCCGTCTCATATCCGTACAAAATAATCTCTCCCTTTGCTCAAGGCATTGTGACCCTATAGTTGAAGTTGAAAATTCAAACACACTAATTATTAACTTCTAATATTTATAATTAAATTCACCCAATATAAAAAAAAATTATTATCCTCTTATCAAAACTATAATCAAGATATCATAAATTATTTTAATCAAGTGTTGGTATATTTAGACTCAGAATATACTGATATGACTAGTACTAATCAGTAAATAGCCTTTTTTTAAAGCCATCAGAAAAAATAAAAAATAAAAAATTTAGCTTCCTATTTTTAACTATTATTTTTGGTCAGCATATACAATTTTTTTATCAAGTAGAAAAAAAATGTAAAATGTGGGATGAATTAATAATTTTTTTCAGATAAATTGAGAATTCATAGGTTTTTTTTTTTCTCTAAAGCCCTCTCGATTTTGTCAAATACCAAAACGTGTACGCTCCTACTGGTCCGGTATAGCTACCAAGCGCCGGAGGAGAAAAATCCAAAGGCACAGAATGGAGAAGAGTCCACCACTTCCTCCTCCGCCACCGGCCCAATGGCCGACGGCCCTACTTGCTCCAGCAACAGGACAAAACAGAAATGAGAAACTGTTTAGTTTAATTACTGAGAATACGACAAAAGTTGCAGGCCATGAGAGAGGATATTGATGCGATTCTCTGTAACCTTCAGGCTTCCTTCCAAATCATCCTTTCATATAACTCCTTCCTCAAATTTGATCCTTTATGTCATCCAATCCACCCTCTTTGTTTCTTCTGATCATTCTTATAATACATCACTCATTGGATTCTCCATCCCTCTCTGTCTCTCTCTCTCTTACTCGGATCACCGTTCGTTGATCGGATGAATGGTTCTGATTCAAATCATCCACCGGTTCAAATTCCTACGTGTAAAGATCAAATCTTTTGAACAGTAAGATTGGACTGAATTCTCCAAGTGGATATCGAGTCAGAAGAAAGCGGTCCAGAATGAGAGGGCCAGGCTTAAGCTGCTTATTAGCTCAGTCTGGAACTTAGTCGAAATGTCAGAAGACATTTCATGAAGGCCTCAGAATATAGATTGATATAATTTACTTAGACGAATCGAGCAGAAATCGCAGGGAGGGATTGCTCTGCTTCAACCGGCGAGCCACTTCTCCATGATCGGCGCATTTACTCTGTTTTTATTCTTTGATAAAATGCATAAACGATTTATTTCATTTTTTTCCTCTGTTCTTTCTCATTTTTTTATTTTTAAATAAATTTAACTGTAATACGCAGCGTGTGTTGAGGTGGCTGCAGAAGAATTATTGCGAAATTTTTTAATTTTTTAATAGATATTATGAATATTAAAACATTTTGATTTTTGAAAAGTTGTAAATTTGATTACTGAAAAAAAAAATTATGAGCGAGCTGAGGACCGCGAATCTCCAAAAGAGCGGTTTTTGTCGAATTGATTTACAGTAATCTCAATGCTTTGGTGTTCCATTATCCAACGACTACAAACGGTGAAAAGAAATTTTTACGAATATATTGCCATAAAAATAACAACTTTTTTCAATTACCAACATATGACAGAAAGCAGAGCATGCAAAATACTATTTGGCAGACAAGAAAGAAGAAGCAGAAGAAGAAGGAGAAATTTATATAGCAAAAAAAATAAAAAAAGGAAAAAAAAGGCGGGGATGCGTGAATTAACAAAATCCGGAAGCTCCCGTGGTGAAAGTAAAGAGCGAAGAAAATCAAATGGCAACGGGGCCCTGAATCCACTGCGAGAAGGCATCAAGTGTTTTCATATCAGCTCTGTAATGCTTCTGTGTAAACTCAAGCAAAGCGGACCACGTGAAGTCTGGGTAAACCCGCGGGTGGTCCGAGTCAACTAAGCCGTTCGGTGGCCTCACCACCTTCTCCATCTCCGGGCACAAGAAGAAAGCCAGCGACTTCCTCGGCACTTCTCTGTTCACCACCGCCCTGTGAAGACAACTCTTGTATCTCCCGTTCGACAACGCCTTAACGTAGAAGAAAACAAAACAATAAACAATAGAATCGTGATAGAAAGAGTGAGAGAGAAGCAAAGGTGGAAACTTGCCATGAAAGTATCGCCGATGTTGACGACAAAGGCGTCAGTTTTGGGTCTGATGGTGCGCCACCGCCCGTCGGTGAAGACCTGAAGGCCGCCGACGTCGTCTTGATGAAGAATGGTGAGGGATGTGGGGTCGCAGTGAGGCCCTGTTCCTAACGTGAGCTCTGGTTTCTGGCATGGAGGGTAGTAATTGAGTCTCATTATCGATTCATTGCCATGAAAGAAATCACGGAAATGAGCTTTGCCAACGCCAAGGCTCATCCCGAGAACCTCCATTATCTCCAGCGACAGCTTGCTCATTGCCTCGCAGTAGTCCTGATACACTTCCCTGCGTCAAATTTCTGATGTTAAAAACAAAAACCTCCCGAGGAAATATAAGAGCTAACCATTACGTGTTATACGAAATGCCAACCCGAAATGTCGAAACTCCTCGCCGAGAGTGTTCGCGAAGTATTCGAAAACGACGGTGGAGAAAGGGGAGAAACGAAAGGAAAGGGTTTCTTTCCATGGGAGTTTCGAGGAGAAGCGACCGGTGAAGCTGCTGGCGTAGCCGCAGCTCTCGCCGGGCTTTCGCTGAGCTCTCTGTTTCTCCTGGAGTGACATGGAGAAAAAGGATTCGACGGAGCGGTGAGCATCGGTGAGGAGCTGAGATGATATGCCGTGGTTTATGACCTGGAAGAAGCCATGTGAGGAGCAGGCTTCGCCGACAAGGCGGACGACCTCGGCGGCTGATTCCGGCTGGCCTGAGAGAAAGCCGGCGAGGTCTATGAGCGGTACGGGAAGCTCCTCGCAGGCGTCTTCTGTGGGCTTTTCTCCTTCTGGCCAGATAAACTGGGCGGGTATATCGCGCTGCTGGCTGAGGACAGTAGCATCAAACTCCGGCGGCGGCGGAGGCGGCGGGGACTCATCTTGCTTAGCGTCGGGGGTGCGGCAAACCATAGCTAGAAAGGAGATAGCTTTCGAGGGAGGATTGAAGGAGGAGGACGAAGGGGATTAAGAGGAGAGGGAGGGAGGGAGGATTCAAAGACTAGGCAGAGTGGGTGCAATGGAAAAGCCAATGCCGCTCAACGGTGAAGTCGGAGTACAACAATCTATGGAATCTTGGGGATTGAGAGACCGATATCTTATAAGGAAATTCTTATAGGAATTATTATAATTATTTTTTTATTATCACTTACTTTATAATTTATATTAGGATTTATGCAGCACATATTGTTGATAGAGATTTAAGACTATAAATTTTGGAAAAAAATATGCTTCAATCTCTATATAATTTATCTCTGTCACCCTTCAACATTATATATTAAATTTTAAAAAAATATTTTTAATAGTTAATGCTCTTAATTAAATTCTTAAAAATTATTGAACTCAAAAAATAATATTATTTATATTAAATATAATATGCACAAACATTTTTATATAATTTGTAAAACTTTTTATTATTTTTATATCACGTGATTAAATTTGAGACTTTTAATAAACGAATTTGAGTGATTTGAAATTTGTCATGAAATAGAAGGGGAGGTATGCAATGATGGTTCAAAGGAATTTTGCCCTACAAATTTTAATTTAGACGTCAGTGATTATTCAGAAAATCTCTATATTTTTTTTTTAAGAAATTTCTTATATCTCATATAAAAAAAATCTTATTAGATTTTTGTTGTTGATTGAGGCTTCGTTTGGGATGACTTACTGCTTCTTAAAACAACTTTTTAGCATTAAATTTTTAATATATGTACTAAAAAGCTGTTTTAAGAAGTCATAAGAAAGCTGTCCCAAACGAAGCCTGAGTATTTATTTGAGATAATTACAATTTTTTCATATGGATAATTAAAATTTTATGTTAGGCAAATTAACTTTTTTTTTTAAGCTGTAAAATTTAGTTTCCTAGCCTAAATTTTTTTCTTGAAAGCAACGAAAATGAATCAGAAATTACGACTTGAAAAAAAAAGTAATAAGAAAATTGTTCCAAAAAAAACTTGAGTCCCTCTTGATGGACTCCTCTTTGGCTTAAAGATAATAAATCCCAATCTATTAAAAGAATTATTTATGATCAGTAAATTTAGATTAGAATTTATTTAGTTTAGAATATAGGACAGCCTGTATCAATGGAGAAATTATTACATCGAGGGGCGGAACCAGCTTCAATTTTGAGGGGGGGCAAGTACAATACATAAGTTATTTAAAAAAATTAAGCAAGAAAAATAAAGAAAAAAAGTGTAATTAAATTGTCATGAAAAACACAAAATAAAATATTAGAACTAAATTTGAAGAAATATATAAACATTTTAGGACAAAAGAGTTTTTTAGGGGGGGGCAAAAGTAAATTTTTAGGAGGGGCCTTTCCTATAAAAAAAAAGTTTTTTTTGAGGGGGGGCAATTGCCCCCCCTAAGCCTTAAGAGGTTCCGCCAGTGATTACATCCGATCAAAAATCGAACGGTTCGAATGTATACCGAGCAATACCGAGTCCAAAATACCGAGTTTTAGGTGACGTGGCGTGTGATTATTAGTCTCTGAACGCATTCGGACACCGGATATAATAATTGCTTGTATCAGTGATAGAAAATTATGAACATATATTTGGGTGCAAAAATTAGATGTGGTGATACAGTTTCTTAGAAGAATTTTGATAAGACAAACTTTGTAGAATGTTTGTCTAGAATTGACTAACCATATAGCCATCTACTCTGACTTGAAGTCTAACATCTCTCTCTCTTAAAAAGCTTTTGGATGAGCATAGCTAATTATTTTTAGCAATAAATATATTTTTACTCTATAATATATTTTGTCAATATTATAATTAATATCATTTTTAAAGTGAATTATGGGTCTCAAAGCAATCACAAAAAGTTAAATTAATAATTTTGAAAATAAAAAAATCCAATAAATGAAAATAATTAAAATGAATATTACAATTACATTAAAATAATTAGAGTTTTGAGTGTATTCAAGACTTGAATTAGTCGAATGAATCCAAGCAGAATTGGTCGGATTACAATAATTTGTATAAATCACAAGAGAAAAAGAACTAATTGTCAAGTGATTCTATTACAAATGTTGATGGTTCATTTATTCCTCCTCTTTATAAGATAAAGGAGATCAAGAAGAATAAGTTATTAACATGATGAGAGTTGTCAAGAAGAAGAGAAGGAAAATGTTCCTCGGCATTCTACTTTTCTCATTTGACGATTTAAAACCTACCACATAATTGTTATATATTTACATATCTAACACTTTAATATATATATATCATAATCTTTAAATCATGTCAAAATTATTAGAGCACACAAATAATAAATCTCACACATCTGTATTGCCATATATATATTACCTTGTATATAGCCTGTAATAGAAATGCTTATAAATACTCCTATTATTGTACTCGAATTGACATGAATAAAATACAAATTACTTTCTTCTTCTTCGTTGCTTTCTTGTGCCAAGTTACGAAAATGTGTCCATGAGCTTCTACATGGTATCAGACGAGGCTTGACGATTCCGGCGACTAATGGCGTCCTCCACCACCTCCCAGCCCGGAAACTCCCAAGAAGGCACTACATCAGCTTCTCCGATTATTTCTTCCTCCCTCAAGTTTATTATCTCTAATCTCAAGAATTAATATTGTCCAAACCCCTCTTTAACCGGACAATTACCTCTTATGGAGATATCAAATTCTCAAGATATGTCGGGCTAACAGCTTCGATTCTTATCTTGATCCAAACCATCCGGTTCCCGAAAAAACTTCTGATTTCTTCAACCGGATCTACCTGCTCAAATCCCACCTATATGCAATGGCTTCTCAATGATCAAAATCTTTTGGCGGCCATATGCTCAACAATTTCTGCTTCGATTCTATCTTATGTTCTTGATCTTGAATCTTCATCCGCCATCTGGACCGTTCTTCAAACTCGCTTCCAATCTACAAACAGATCTAAGGTCATTCAACTCAAGAATGAGCTTTACCATACCTCTTTAAAGAACTCCACGATGCTCCAGTACCTTAACAGAATCAAATCTTTGGTCGATCAAATTGCTGCAGCAGGGTCTAAAATTGATCCCAAGGATGTCATTCATCATATTCTTGATGGACTTCCTCTGACGTATCAGCCGTTTAAGACGACCATACGAACTATGACTCAATCTTTAAATCTTGACCAACTTTACTCCTTACTAATCAGTGAGGAAATCCACATTGCTTCCGACGCCGCTCAGTTTGCTACACCAAATCTTCCGGACGCCGCTCTTTTCTCCTCCAGAGGCCGCGGCCGTCGCGGCAAAGGACGCTCAGGAGGTTCAAGAACTGTATCCACGCAGGTACAATTCATCTGCCAGATTTGTCTCAAACGAGGACATATCGCATCGGACTCCTGGCATCGGCTCAATGCTCAGTATGTGCCGGCACCTCCAAAGCAACCACAAAAAGCCTTGGCAGCATAATCAACTCAAGCTTACAACGACTATTGGTACCTTGATTCCGGCGCGTCATCGCATATGACCAAATCTCTTGAGAACCTCTCGGTCTCAAACCCATATCAAGGATCCGACGACATCACCATTGGCTATGGGAGCTCCGTTAGCATAGCTCACTCCGGAAAAGGCTTGCTACCGACTCCCTCTCGTAAGCTAAATCTTTCTCACATTCTTCACACACCGGCACTGCATTACAATTTACTTTCAATTTCTCAGCTTACACGTGACAATATTATTTACATAATTTTCGATCCTAACGGATTTGTCTTGAAGGACTTGACGAATCAACAAATTCTGCTTAAAGGGCCTTGCAAGAACGGCCTATATCCCGTTTCAATACCAGCAGCTGTCTCTCCGCACCGGGCGCTCCACACCAGCCAGCAGCGTCTCGGTCTGGCATGATCACTTGGGGCATCCAAACAAAAACTTGATAAATCGCATAGAAGCTTGTAATCCCGAATTACGTATAAATAAATCAAATGTAACTTGTCATTCTTGTCATATGAACAAGGGACATAAACTTCCATTTGAAATATCTACTAGTCGTGAACATACCGCTCTTGCTCTAATTCATTCCGACGTGTGGGGTCCCGCTCCCATGTTATCGCATTCAGGTTTTTTATATTACGTGATTTTTATCAATGATTACTCCCGCTATACGTGGATTTTTCCATTACAAAACAAAAATGAAGTTACTGCAGTTTTTATTCAATTCAAATTATACATTGAACGTGCCCTATCTTCTAAAATCAAAAAGTTCCAATCTGACGGCGGCGGTGAGTATATCAATACTCAGTTAACTCAATACCTCCAAAGCAATGGCATCCAACACCGCATTGCTTGTCCGTATACACCCGAGCAAAATGGTGTGTCGGAACGTAAGCATAGACACATTGTGGAAACGGCAAGAACTCTTCTTCACACTGCCTCTATTCCATTTACTTTCTGGCCATATGCTATGGTAACTTCTGTCCACTTAATTAATAAACTTCCTAATTCTGCTACAAATTACAAGTCTCCGCATGAGATGCTCTTTCAAACTCGTCCCGATTCACAATGCTACGCACATTTGGACGCGCTTGTTTTCCGTTAATTCCGCTACCTCAGCGACACAAACTTCTCCCAAAAGCCGAATCCTGTGTATTCCTCGGTTATTCCGACATCTACAAGAGATACAAGTGCTTAAATCTCAAAACAAGCAAAATCTGTGTTTCTCTCCATGTCACATTTGATGAAAATGTTTTTTCGTTGGTAGAGCATCAACCCATTTCAATGGCTTCTCAGGATCAAATTTCTCCTCTATTTTTAATGCCCGTCTCGACAATTAGGCGCCCTCCATCTACCGTCAATCTTGTTCTCCAGCCCACAGCTACCTCAATTCCATCTACCATCACAAACCCAATGTCTGGCCAAGAACCATCACTTTCTCCGATACTTAATCCCATTCATCCAGCGGCTCAGACTCAATCACATCACATGGTTACCAGAGGTAAAACGGGTTCTCTGAAACCTACAAATCGTCTTAATCTTCTTCATTCTACCACTGCCATAGATGAACCTTCCGCTCCCTCCACGTACACTGAAGCAAGCAAGCTTCCCGAGTGGCGTCGAGCCATAGCAGACGAGTTTTTCGCCTTACAAACACAAGGCACTTGGAGCCTAGTTCCTCAGCCTTCGAATTCCTCAGTACTAGGTTGTAAATGGACATACCGACTTAAGCTTCACTCTGACGGTTCGATCGCCAAACACAAGGCCCGACTAGTCGCTATGGGAAATCATCAAGAATTTGGCATGGACTACACCGAAACATTAATTTAGCCCAGTGGCTAAACTACCCACTATTCGCACTCTACTGACGGTAGCATTGCACAACGACTGGCCAATTCAACAACTTGACGTCGCAAATGCTTTTCTTCATGGCTCGCTCTCTGAAACCGTCTACATGAGACAACCAAAAGGTTTCGAGGATACTACTCACCCAGATCATGTCTACCGACTTCACAAGGCCATTTACGACCTCAAACAAGCGCCTCGGCAAACCTCTTTTCTTGTATCTATCGGTTTCACTCACACTAAATCAGATCCATCTCTGCTTCTTTTCAACAAAGGCAATGTTAAATTATTTTTGCTTATTTACGTGAATGATATCCTTCTAACGGGCAATGATCATACAGCTCTCAATAATATCATAATGCAGCTGCAAAGCAAGTTTTTAATGAAAATTTTGGGTCTCGTATCTTCGTTTCTTGGCATTAAAATATCCCGTAAATCTGATCAATATTTTCTAACCCAAAAGCATTATGCCCACTCCATTCTTCAATCTGCTCAGCTCACTACGTGCAAACCATTATCCAACCCTACATGTACTAAACTCCCACAAACATATGGCTCCGATCCGGTACTGGATGATCCGAACATGTATCGTTGTATCACAGGTTCCTTGCAATACTTGACGTTAACACGTCCCGACATCTCTTTCAGCGTAAATCTGCTGTCCCAGCACATGCATCAACCTCAGCCGCAGCACGTCTATCTCTTAAAATGGCTTCTTCGTTATATCCAAGGTACACTTAATTTTGGTATCCCAATTCTAAAATCTAATCTACGTTTATCAGCCTATTCTGATGCAGATTGGGCCGGTGATCCCATCTCAAGGAAATCAACCTCTGGATACTGCTCCTACCTCGGCAATACACTGATTTCTTGGACGGTCAAGAAACAAACCATAGTGGCTCGCTCATCCACAGAGTTTGAATATCGCTCGTTAGCTGCACTTGCCGCCGACGTCATATGGATTTGACGCATACTAGCCGACTTCGGCATCTCTCAAGACTCTCCCACCGATCTTTTCTGTGATAACACGTCGGCAATTGCTTTGGCAAACAATCCCGTGTTTCACGCCCGAACAAAACACATTGAAATTGACCATAGGGTCGTTCGTGATCATATTCAGCAAGGCTCTATTCGAATCCTCCCTATCTGTACTAAAGACCAAGTAGCAGATATCTTTACTAAATCACTATCTACGCCACGATTTCATGAACTACGATTCAAACTGAACGTCTTGCAAGAATCGTCAGTTTGAGGGGGGCTATTAGAGCACACAAATAATAAATCTCACACATCTGTATTGCAATAAATTCTCTCTCTCCCTCTATGATATTCTAATATGCAATAATCAATATTGGCACAAAATTAAAAAAAAAATAGTTAAAATAAAAATCTATAGCACAAGAGAATAGTAAGCTACATCAATCAAACTTCTTTCCTCACCCCCTCATTTGAGAAATTATTGGATCAGGATAAGCATGCAAGGCAGCTTAATTTAAAGGAAATAAAATATATATTTATTGATGATTTTTTCTTTTTTTTAATGCTATATTGCACACTAATTATCTTGTATAACAAGTAAAAATCAAACTAAAAATTTCAATGATTTGTTCATTAATATTCTCATCTAACCTTCTAAATATATTTTGATTAAGGTTTCATTTGGGACAGCTTTTTTATTGCTTTCTAAAACAGCTTACATGAATATTTTTCTAAAAACTGTTTTAAAAAACAGTAAAAAAATTATCCCAAACGAAGCTTAAATTTCTTATCCTCCCATTAGTGAACATATAACAAAGGACAATAAATGGATAAGGATAGGCTGAGATAAATTTGAATGTGTGTGTGCTTATTATAACTCTGTGTCCTCATTCATGCACTCTTATGTGATTCCAAACAGAAGATATTGAGAATATATAGAGATAGAGAGAGAGAGAAAGAATGGAAGAAGAAGTTGATGAATTAGTGAAAAAAAAAATATGAATTAGTGTTATTTCTGATACAGCAAAATGGAAGGCAGCAGAGAGCTGCTATAGCTCTATTTATGCGGCCGTCCCCACCGTACATTCCAGTCCAAAAACAGCCTCACCCATCTCGGCCCCGCATAGAAAACAAACACAAAAGAACCATCATATATGTCAATACAGAACATCAGCATAAAGTTTTATAAAATATCACCTCCCTAATAATGCAAATAATGCTTCCAAAATAAGTTCCATAACTGTATCATAACTCTTTCAGTTTGAACTTTGGAAGGGATGGGGGGGTGTTTGGCACCACCAGCCGTCGGGTTCACAGGCGGGTAGTTGCCCTACAAATTCGATTTGACGGGTCTGGTCATATTTTTAGTTTCTCAAAATCATTAGTTTTGTTTTATGATGTGTATGATATACACTTGTATCATAGAAAATGCAATAATTATGATATCGAGCATAATCAGGGGGGAGGGGTTTGGCACCACCAGCCCTTGGATTCGTGGGCGGGTGGTTGCCCATACAAATCCTATTTGATGGGTCTGATCGTATCTCCAGTATCTCAAAATCATTATATTTATTTTATGATGTGTATAATATACGATTGTATCATAGCAAGTGCAATAATTATGATATACAGCATTAATAATGTTGGAGGGGTGTTTGGCTTTTGGCACCACCAGCCATAGGGTTTGCGGGCGGGGAGTTGCCCTACAAATTCGATTTGATGGATCAGATCATATTTTTATATAGTATCTCAAAATCATTAGATTTATTTTATGATTACGCTTGTATATCATAGCAAATGCAATGATTATGATACCTAGCGTAATCATAATTTAGTAGAAATATAAATATTTTGCACATAGTTATGGGAATTTATGGCTAAGGACGCAAAGGCTGCTATTGCTAATGCCTTAATATGTACAATGAGGAATTATTAGATAAGTATTCTTCTTATTTGTTATTCTATTTAATATTATTAACTAATGTGTGAAATGAATTTGTTGATATAGACTAATACAAAATAAAATAATTTGAAATTTTGACTCAAAATATTATATTTAATAAGGTAGAAATTTCAAATTAGGGATAGTTTTTCATAATCATAATTTGTCCTTCAGCGGAGTACGCAAGCCATCTAGGTTGACAATTTTGGAAAAAATTAGGTCAAAATTATCTCCATGGGCTTCATTGGAGCTTGAGAGTGCCAAAGTTGAGTCCAAAAGAAAAATGATTCCAATCGAGAAGTGATATTGAAACAGCAAAGAGACTCGTCCATGATTGAAAATGGATCGTGTACCGCATATATGGCTTATACACAGTTCTTTTTGGTCTGTTGGTTAGGAACTTTGGCTACCAATCAAGATGAATTGGGTTCGAGTCTTGTGTATGCAATGTATGTGTAAGTCTGCCTTAATTGGCCTCAATGTCCCAAAAAAAGCAATCCATATTTTTTTTGTATCATAAAATAGTTTGAATAATAAAATTAGGGTTCTTCATGATTGGCAGTCAAAGTTCTCAACCAATAGATCAAGGTGAGTTGTGTATATGGCATATGCAGTACACACAATCATGTGCCAATACCAATGAGTCACTTATCTGACAACAATTATATAAGCATACCGAAATGAAATTATGATATTTTAAAAATTAAAGAATTCTAAACAATGCTCATAAAATTCTTTTTTTTTTTGCATATTTCTTACATCTAGATTTGTGCAATGTTTTATAAATTCTTCTCATGATATGTCCCTAAATTTTACATACTTTTTTAAATAATAAAAGTTTTAGAAAATTTTAGAAGTGGGTTCTAGTAGCAATGCCTAAGTTGAGCTACTCAGAGAAAAAAAAATTCATTGTGATGTCAATTGAGTGAATTTTCAAACTTTATGATTAATTTCTTTGAAAAATATAATCCTTAATCTATGTGTTCAAGTAGATCTCTAAGACTTTATTGCTTAAGCCTTCAAAAATATTTCATGTCCATGATGAAAATCAGCATGCTGATGACTGATGAGTGTCTCCTACTCTACAAAAATTTTTTTATCTCATTCTCAATATGACTAGACTTTGCATCTCTATATAAGCTAGATAGGGACACATCATTGTCTTTTATCTCATATGATAGTGTTCTCATACTTATTTGGATTAACTAAGCTACCCTACTCTATATAGTTTAAGCTAAAATTTAACAAAAGTAAGTATATCCTCCTAGAGATCCTCTCATTGTCTAATCAGATTTGATCATGCTATAGGCCAGCCACATTGTCTTATAAATATAAATAATACAAAAATATATATAATTAAAAATATTTTGATCAAAATTTAATTATGATGACCTTCAATTTTTTTTATCTATATATTTTATGCTAAATGCATGAGTTTTATGAGTTATTTAGGTTTCGTTTGGGGTGGCTTTTCTAATGCTTCTTAAATCAACTTCTTATTAAAAAAATTAGAAAACATTAAGAAAGTTGTCCCAAACAAGAGAGAATATTACGTGTGGAGTCCAAATATAATTAAAGAACCATTTGGTTTTATGATTGTGAACAATAAAAGCTCAAGGGGGAATAGTAACTGCGCGTTTGCTGTTCACAGTCATAAAACCGAACTGTTCTCTATTTCAGGACTCTACGCATAATAATCTCTCCTTAAATGAAGCCTTAATTAAATTTTGATTGGAATTTAGAGCTTATTTTTCTCCAATTAATAATACTAATGCAATTAATTATATGCATGACAGCCTTACAAAAATTCTTATTAATCATAATTAGAGTACTTTGGCATAGCTGTATTCGTGTTCTCTTATGAAGAATAAGGGTCCCATGCATATATGCTTGGTGAAGCTAGCTTGAATCCCTTAAGAAGACAATAGGAATAATGCTGTGAAGCTACAGATTACAAGAACTTGCTGGAAACTTTTGAAGCTCCTTTAAGTTCTTTAATAATTTTTTTTTGTAATTTGTGGCAGATCTGTGATGCCAGATGTTAGTGTGAAATCATATATATATGTTGGATTGAAGCTTCGTTTGGCAGTGTTATATTGTTGTCGTATTGTTTGGAAAGGAATTTATCATTTTCTTAGAAAATAATGAATAGATATTTACAGATAATTTTTTTATTTATAAAATTGTCATTTGGATGTTTAAATTGGAATACAATTTTTTATATATTTGCAAGTGATATAGCCAAGAAATTAAAATGTTAACAAATCAATAAGAATGCAAAAATTGATCATTTTGTTGTGTCTTTTAAAAATTTTAAAATTATTGTTATACGCTATGCTGGTAGGTACATATATATATTTGATAGCCCTAAGAGACTAAATATTTTAAAGATATACAGTAGTTAGAACAATCAAGTTATTAGGTGGATTGCTAGAACAATTAAGTTAATATTTGGCCTTGCCTGCTGCCGCTAAACTACGTCTCGAAGCTATAGCGTGAAGCCTGTAGCGTAACCTACCTGTTCACACATACGGGTTCATGGGTTGGGTCGAGACAACCCGACAACTTGTGCAGGTTGAGAAATCTGAACCATTTGCGAAACCATGTTGGGTTCAGGGTTGACCCGTTTGGACCCGAGTCAGACAAGGTTGGACTCGAAACCCGGCCCATGGACCTGTTTTGACACCCCTAATAATATAATTATACATTAAAACCATACATTGCTAACTTATTCATTTGGTGGCCCCAAATTTCATTCGGGCCTACTCCAAAAGACTAGCTTTGGTTCATCAGAACCAACCAAACTATCATTGATTAGAAACTTCCCTAGAGTTTAACAAGCATGATCTCTCTCTCTCTCTCTCTCATTATATATTTCTAATCTGATCCACTATAGCTCACATTCCCATCTTGTCTTCTTCTCAAAAGAAAAAGTTTATTTTCCTTCCAAATAGATGGTAGAGCAACATAAAGCAAGCTGTTTGAGTGAGTGATAAGCTGCGTGAGATAATAATATGGTATGCCTCGACACTTCTTCGGGCTGATGT